GCAGCTAGCGTGGACGTTAGCCCGACTCGGAGTACAAGGACCCACACCCAATTCGCGTTGATCAAACAGTGGCCTATGCAACAGAGAGATTTTATTTTTCATCAGGATATAGGAAGAATAGGAGGGATTGAGGTCAATCACTGGCACTTTTTTATTTTATTTTAAATGGTACACTACACTTTATGTTGAACTATTTATTACGTTGTTGGTGCAACTGGCACTTTATGTTGAACTGTTTATTGTTTTGGCCAAGGTTATTGAGAGAGTTGGACTGAAATTTATTAGATTTTTTAAATCAACTGTTGGTAAATCAACAAAGTCTGTTATGGCCTCTGAAGCAACAGAGAGATGTTTTCTAATAGTCAGGGTTTCCAATGTTCTGAATGTACTTGAAAGTATTGTGTTATACTTAAAAAACAAAGTGTTATAGTTTACAGAAGGTCTACCTACCTATAGGCTACCTGAATGTCTGAAATGTACTGTATTCCTAAATATGCTATTGCTACACTTTATGGCAAAAATTGCACTTTTCTGTTGGTCTTGGTTAAGTACATCCTTGAAAAAAATAAACAATGTTTTGTTGCTTAAGTTTATGTATTCAGTCATTATTCAATGGTATACTAAAATCCATGTGAAAAAAATTGCTTCTCTCAGGTCAAATATTTATATGTGATTAAAAATGCGATTAATTGCGATTAATTAATTACAAAGCCTGTAATTAATTAGATTAATTTTTTAATCGAGTCCCGGCCCTAATATATATATATAGGGTACATCAACATTTGTATGTGAGTCACATTGTCTGCTTACATGACAATATGTTGCTCACTGAAACAAATAAGTCGTTGGATCTAAGTGATTGAATAGTGGACTTTGGTTGCACATTAATCGTTTGCTTTGGCAGCACTCGATCCAGTTGTNATTTTGTTTTAAAAAACGGACGGATGGAAGCGTCGATAAGAGCACGGTTGTTTGCAAATTATGCAAAAAGGAATTTGCATATCACCGCAGCACATCAAGCCTCAAGTATCACCTCAATGCAAACCCTATAGCAGCTAGCGTGGAAGCTAGCGTGGACGTTAGCCCGACTCGGAGTACAAGGACCCACACCCAATTCGCGTTGATCAAACAGTGGCCTATGCAACAGAGAGATTTTATTTTTCATCAGGATATTGGAAGAATAGGAGGGATTGAGGTCAATCACTGGCACTTTTTTATTTTATTTTAAATGGTACAGTACACTTTATGTTGAACTATTTATTATGTTGTTGGTGCAACTGGCACTTTATGTTGAACTGTTTATTGTTTTGGCCAAGGTTATTGAGAGAGTTGGACTGAAATTGATTAGATTTTTTAAATCAACTGTTGGTAAATCAACAAAGTCTGTTATGGCCTCTGAAGCAACAGAGAGATGTTTTCTAATAGTCAGGGTTTCCAATGTTCTGAATGTACTTGAAAGTATTGTGTTATACTTAAAAAACAAAGTGTTATAGTTTACAGAAGGTCTACCTACCTATAGGCTACCTGAATGTCTGAAATGTACTATATTCCTAAATATGCTATTGCTACACTTTATGGCAAAAATTGCACTTTTCTGTTGGTCTTGGTTAAGTACCACCTTGAAAAAAATAAACAATGTTTTGTTGCTTAAGTTTATGTATTCAGTCATTATTCAATGGTATACTAAAATCCATGTGAAAAAAATTGCTTCTCACTGTTCTCAGGTCAAATATTTATGTGTGATTAAAAATGCGATTAATTGCGATTAATTAATTACAAAGCCCGTAATTAATTAGATTAATTTTTTTAATCGAGTCCCGGCCCTAGTATACATACATCTCAGACACATACTGCACACTGAAACCAGAGATTCCAGAATGTTACAGACAAAAATGCTGCCTAAAATGTTTTTGATTAAAAAAAGAAAACACTTGAAAATGTTGTGTAATTGTTTTGCAAATCGGTCAATAATGCTCGACACAACTACTATCTGCATGATTGCTGTTTATCATTAGCGATATCTAAGAAGATAAGAAGAACTTCGAAAATGTATACTCCACTATAAGACAAATACTTTGAAATGGCTTCTTAAGGCAAATCCTTTTACAATTATGTATGAGTCCCCTTCTTATTAAATTACTATACATGTGAATTAATTAATATTATTGTATTTTACCTTAAATGTTTCTTCAAAGCACTTGTGTGTTTTAATTTTAAAAAAATTAAATAAACTTCACTTGGCTATCTCTCATGATAGATAAACCTTTTTCAGCCACTGTCACCGGTTGCTTCTCGAGGCCGTCCATCTGAGTAATTCTTAACACTGTGGCTCAGTAGACAGACGGAGAGCGAGAGGCAGACAGAAACAGAGCAGCAGTAGCAGAGGCAGTTGACCAACCCAATCAAGGGTCTCCTCCTCGTTCACAGCCTGTTCACAATGTGACATTTTCCAGTGGAGCGGAACAGCCCTAGGAAAACAAGCTGTGTGAGCGGAACCGAAACAGGCTTTAAGATTTCAATTAGGAAGTTTAATTAACAACACTAGAAGTTTCCTGTGAAGTTGGGGTTGTCTATAAGGCGCCCCCTGTGAGACCTGTCATCATCATCTCTGCAAAGAGGAAGACTCTATTGGTGTGTGCTTGTGTGCAAGTATACTGTACACAGATGATTGTACACTGTACCCTCACAGCTTGAATGTGCACTAGAAAGATGACATTGTTAAAATACACAGTGATAATACCTTTAATGCCCAAGAGTAGCGCTTGATTAAGTTCAGGGATGATCCTTCAATGTTTATTTATTACATTTGATTTTTTAGAAAAAGACGACTAAGCATTGAATTCAATTATAAAATGTGAATGTTATAGTTTTTGAAGGTCCTATTCTAGGACCATAAGACAAGTAACACACTCAACAACTAAAATCGTTTCTTTGGCTCGATCCATAGTGCTTTGTACATCACAGCAATTTCCAAATGTCCTTTACAGTATAAGAGAGAGTCTAACGGAGGCAGAAATACATGTTTTTGTTCTCGGAACAAACAAGGTACATGACGTACTAGGCAGAGCATCTGTTTCCAAAATAGAATCACCTTAACCTGCCACAAATATTTGTTTATGTATGAGTTGTATTTATGGCAGTAACATGGCTGTATGTATGCATAATTTTCCTGAGCCCCATTTATGTTTTGAAGTCTCTGCAGCGCTGCTCTCGTGCGTTGTTTGTTTCTGCTGCAGTGCAGGACAGGTAGCTCTGGTACTCCTCGGGGGATATGGCCTCCACTGCTGACTGAAAAGTTTTTTTACTGCAAGAACTCAGAAGTTTTCAGAGGTGCAACTCAGCTAAACTGGAACAATTCCTTCACCCCTAACTTTGCTCTTGACAGATCAGCCAATAAAAGTAAATATCGTTTGAGAGAGGGGTCACCTTGAGGTGAAGTAGGCAAAGATGAAGAGCGCAAAAGTTTAATCCCCCCCAGTTTATGTTATGACCATGTCAAAGTACCTAGGTACTGACCCTGCAGCAAGGGTTACACAGGGATTAAGGATCAAAGAAGTACACACACTCGGTATGTACTGTAAACGTTTGATAATAATAACAGTACTCTATATCTTTTCAAATAATTGCTTGTACCCTTTTATCTATGGCTGCAAAATAAAATATATATGCACTTACCACGCACTGACCTTTTCATTTATATGTAAATATAAACGCAGACGTAAAACTAAGAAAATCACTTCAGAGATGAGGGGTTTTAAGATTTAACAACCATCAAGTCCGCTTTTCTACAATAGTCCTGGTGGGGAGTAACAGGTAAAGCACAGAGACACTGACTATATTTCCTTTGAAGAGAGAGAAACACATCATCAGTATTTGACTCATCCTACCTACTTTAGAAGCAGTGTGAAGCAGCCATAGTCCTTGGTCAAGGACAATGGCAGGAGAATTCCTACTTAACATACTTTTCTTTAGCAGTGAATGAAACCCAGCACCCGGAGGAGACCCACGCAAAACACAGAAAAAAGATTTTCATTCCACACAGAAAGGCTCCGGTGGGGCCTGGAGGCGCGTCCTGCTGGGATGCTTCAAAGCTAACCACAGAATCACGCACCTCCCACTGAACAGGCACCAGCTGAATAAAATGAGCACTTACGAGTTTGAAGGTTGGTGATGACGGTGCCGCTGGTGAGGGGTCCTTTGGTGGCGTACAGAGCCACAGAGTAGGTGGTGCTCGGCTTCAGATTGGACAGCTGGTGCTCCTGCTTGTTGCCTTCCACGAGGAAAGTGTCAGCTGTCACTGGAAAACATAAAAAGTTCATATGTTTACCACACTGCTCCCGTTATTATTTATCTCTGAAAAGACTGCATTCATTTGTCACTCTTTAGAAATAAGCTCCTGAGCATGTTCAAACTTAATCTCAAATTAATCCTGCACTGTTTGGCAACCTTTGGGGTGCTCTTTGAAGTTGAAGGATTTCTACACTTATTATGCTTTGAGTTGAACTTGCTTTTGGGGGCAACTCTGCATAAATAAAGCACACTATAAATATCTATTGCTTATAACATCTGACGGAATATAGAAGAAATGCAAGACTAAGAAAACACCTTCTCATCTAATTTAATATCCCAGGAATCAGTTTAAGGTATTTTCATGGCTAATATAAACCATCTAACCCATTTGAAGTTTGAATTGTGTACACATTTAAATACGGATACATTATCATTCGGTAACCACTTCACATCAATGAATCAACTGTGCAAAATTGCTGATTAAGAAAATAATTGTGTGACACGAGCAATAATTTAATTTGACTGGAAAATACATTTCATATAACTGCTGTGTTGTCAGCAGCTCACTGACAGGGGGTGCTTTACAACAGAATTTAAATTTGTAGTAATATTCCTCTTACGCCAGACTTTCTTTTACCCTAAATGTCACAGTGACAATTGTGAGGAATTAAACATGCAAATATGTCCATGCTAGAGTATGAACCTATTTTACAGAAAGTTTGACTTATTTGACTTAGAGTTTTATGAGGTTGTGCCAATAAAAATCTGTTTTGTAATGCAGGACAGTACCTGATGAAATATGAGATGTATTGACCTTGATGTGACACACTGACACTCAAGGGAATTGTCCACAACTTTATTATGGCACTGTCCTAAACCCTGGCTGGGGATGCTTTCCAACTATGTGCTCAGCATAAAGAAAGTGTCTCAGTATCTGAGATTATCTGGCTGCAGTCCAGTCAGGCAGGGTGTAACGCACAAATTGACTCAGAGAGCTGAGTTATACAGATTCCTCTGGATAACTCCAGGCTTAGACAGTCGGGTCATGTGCAAATGAGAAATATCCTCCCCATAAAATGTCATCCAGACGGCTCCTAAAAGTCAGGAGGGAAATTATAGTTATCAAGTTTTATTAAACCTTTAACAAACTATTTATTGACTCAAGGCTGTTAAAATTGAAAGATGTAATATAATTACTGATGGCTTTAGTTATGCATAAAGCAAAAAACAGAATACTGCCAGAAAATATACAAAAAGCATCATAGGAGGAAATTACATTTTAAGCATCAGTTTGCACGTACTACTTTAAAGCAGATGTGTAGTTGCCGTAAAGAAGTGGAATTCTTTGCCGGATGATTTAAAGGGCTGTAAGAACATTTTTATGTTCAAGAAAATGTATAAAGAAAGTGTAATTAGACAGTATGAAGTTGACTTTTGATTGTGTTCTGGTTTTATGTTTCAGTATTTGTCAGCAACTGTGCATGAAAGAATATTGCTTTTATTTGACTTTTTAATGGTTATTTCATTTTTTATTGTTGTTATTCTTTTGTAAGAAGGGGCAGGTAAAATAAGATTGTCTTCTCCCTACTCCTTTCCACCATGCGCTATACAAAATAAAAAACCAGTATAAGTGTACATGTTTTGTTTTAAAATAACTGCCATGTGTGGAATAAACAAATAAATAAATAAACTGGCTAGTTTGAAAAAGAAAATGACTGAGAAAATGGGGGGATGTTTGTTTAAAAATACAATTTCCTTACAATTTTTTTTCTATTCCAGTGCTCTCGCTGTGTATGTCAAGATGTTTTATCGGTGGCAGTGTTGCCTACTGTAACTTGGCAGTCATCCACATGGTTCAGGGAGCAAATTATAAACTGACTCCGAGGGGCAAAGCAATATGGCTATCTGTTACCTATCTGGATATGGCTGTCAGACAGTGAATACACGGGCTGCATCAGAAACATATGCCCTGTAAAAAGCACAATTGGTTTCAAGGCTAAGTACTTCAACCGAGCATAATGAAGTCTCTGGAGCCAAGACAAATCGATCCATATTGCCTTCAAGGATCGTACTGATCTCACTTCTTATTGGAAAAACCTTGACGGTACCTAAAATATCACCGCACGTTGCACATGAATGACCAAAAAGAAATCTGCTCATCATGCTCTGACCTTACAGCAGCTATCACTCTATTAAACTTAAAGCAAATCATTGTGCAGAGAGCTATTATCAATACTAATTTGGTACGTAGTTGTACAGTGCTTTTCACAACCGAGGTTAATAAGTACTTCACGACACAGAAACATGACACCTACAAATGGCAGCATAAGCTAAAAGGCTGATTTGTAAAATGTGATTCACAGTTTTGAACGAAGGTAGTCAAGTGACATCAAAGAAAGTGAGGCATTAAAGAGAGAAAGGTGTTGATGATTCTGTCCAAATGCTTTAATTAGTATAATTCTCGTGCTTTGATGGTGGTTAATCAAGCCGTCTTCTCCCCGTCTAATTAACAGCAAATGCCTCTTAATGGCAGTTCATATTACTCACCCTGGTTGTGTGTGAGGGTCAGCACGTAGTTGTCGACACTGGAAATGGGGGGATTCCACCTCAACAGAGCCCCTTGGGGAGTGATGTTGAGAGCTGTCAACTCAGCTGGCATGTCCATCGCTAGGATTACAACACAAATATAAGCTCAGACAAATACAACAATAACAGTATTTTCAGTCTGGCCAGTATGACAGCAATGGATCACCTTGAAGGACCCTTAAATGACAGTCTAAATGTTGGCTACATACTGTATCAGCCAAAAACATTAACAGCTTTCTTTATCAAATTAAAGAGCAAACACATTAACATTCTTACAATTCAGAAGCTGAAACCGCAGTCAAATTAAAATAAAACTTAAATTGTCTCTTTTGTCTAGCATTTGCCAGATATTTTTGAAAACTACACTGCCATAATTTTGTTCACAAACTGTGGAGCTGTGTCAGTCACTTACATACACAAAGACATTGTGATTCTGTACACAATGGGTCGAGATACAATCGTAAAAACACATGGAATGCCAATTACACCTAGACAATTCAATACAATTCAAAATGGAAAACCATTATTCGATCCACATCTTAGTTTTAATTATAGAAATTGAGAGACAGAAAAGCTTCGCATCTATTCTACACTGTTTAATGCCATTTTGATCACTGTTTCCTCAATTCATAGACACATCAAAAGAGAAATTATGCAGTCAAAAGGCTGTAGAAAGTCTGAGAAACTCTCCTGAGCCTGACGTTTCCCCAACCTTTTCCTAATTTAATTCTCAGACTGCTAGACATGGCAACATTGAGTTTGAATTTAATTATACCTTTAACCTCAGTGTTTCAACCCCATTTCTCCTAAGGCATGTTATTTCTGCGCAGTAGAGAGCATAGCAGCAGAACACACAACACCACATGTGCTCCAAAGCTCTGCCCAGATGAGGTAATTAATGTTGCCCTGCCCTCATCAGACTAAAAAAAAAATGTGTGCTCATTAGCACAACGAAGTGAGTTTGACTCTTCCTTATCTCTGCGATAGATGAACAAACCTGATTAAAATCATTACTTTAATTGCAAAAAAGGTTTAAGTGAATTTAATGGAGACCTGCCAAGTCAATTAGTTTGGCAATGGAGATGGAGTTGAGATGGCCAATAAAGAAATAAATAAACAGGTCATCCACCTTCAACAGCCTCTGTGATAATCCAATCATCACTCTCCATCTCCTGATTGCTCCGGTGGATCGCAGACTGAGCCAAATACATCACGTTCGCACTCGAGGTGCTTAAGATTCAGAAAAGGAACAAAAGGCTGCTGTGGGGCATAATGCTGCGTTGCAGTCCCATGCTGATGGGAAGCTCTGCTCAATTAAACCTCCAGAAATACAAGAAAGCCTGAGCATTGACACAATTATCCTGTAAACCTGCTGTTTCCAAACATTACATCACTGACAGCAGAGCAAATCAAATGCCAATTACACAATAAGGCAAGTACAAACTCATATGTTGTGCTTCCAAAGCTAATTGCAGTGTTTGCCTTTAAGGGGGTCAAATGGACCAAGAAGTATTTTCTATAGTGTTCTTCCCACTGGATGACATTTTAAAAACTGTAGACACAAAACATCAGGTACTGTATATACTGAAATTAATATTAACATTATGTGAGAAATGATATTGGACAAACTAGTTCAGACATACCTTTGATTTCTGTTCAATTGCTCAAAACAAATGAGTTTTGTGTTATCGTTAAATTAAACAAGTAAAAAAAATGAAGCCACTTATACATATACTTTATTCAGTGCTTTTTCCTAAAATCGGCCTCAGACAATTTGAAAACTATTCTGTATATAGACAATCTGACCGATTTAGTGATGTTTATTACTGTGATGCTTGAAATTAGTTTTCCAAAACTCTAATCATTGCATTGATAAGTGCAATAACATTTAGTGGTGAATTCTACTGTATGCGATTATCTGATGAAAGATGGTCGCATTAGACAATTGAAGCTAAAAGTATTAAATCATAACTGATCATGTTGAGAATCCCCAGTCTCCTCTTTATCTGCTAAACATTAGATCAGGATTCTCATAATGTTAAAAAGGCACAGAGTGGTTTACCCTCTCTATCAAACTAAGTGTGGAAACATCGGTTTGCAGTGCACAGCTTATTCATAAAATAAAGACTAACAACTTCGGTCCTTGATTGTAAGGGAGAGAATAGGGCACAGGAATGTTGTATTGACGTATGAATCTTTGTCGGTGTGCTATTACGTGTGAATACATCTCAGCAAAACTTCAGGACAATGTTTTACATTGAGTATTTGTGCTTTGCTGGAAAAAAAAAAACTTTAGATGTGACAGTTGACCATGAGGTCAGTCTGCTGTGTGCTGTGGCCATTATGAACCGCAGACCGCAGCAGACAGTGCAGTTAGCGAGACACATCGGACCATTTACTCCCCAGTCCATCTCTGCATCCCCTCTCATTACAATGGAAGCAGTACTGCCTCAGTGTAAAGAAAAGCATGTTATCAGTGTGAGTGTGTGTTCTCCACAACTCTCCACTGGAAGGGTGACATTTGGCAACCATTGTACCTAATGATGTTATGCTGAAAGGAGGTTGTACTGTATAAAGCTGCGTGGAACATTTTCACTGCTCTTTGTTGATTGTGAATGTATTGTATGTTGAGGAAAAAAACATTTATGTAACGCTCATTATCATAATGCTTTATTCAAAGAAATACTGAAATGACTTGTAAGCTAATGTATTACCTAACTGGTAGTCTTCAGCTGATTTGCTGGAACCTGCTGTGCCTTTGTATGAAGTTTCTTAACTATTGTGTTAACGACTGCAATAATAGCCCGCTGTATCACCTTTAATTTGTCATTATGAAGGTGTAGTCTTGCAGCTCTTACTGTAAGTAGACATGTCACGCTGAGACTGTGACTTGATGTGTAGCAGCGACAAAATGTGTTGCAGAAGATTTCACAACAAAGCCTAACAAGAAGAACAGCTCTCTGACGAGGAAAATAAAGGTTTTTGAAGATGAAAACCATGCAGTGTATCTTTGGAATAGCTCTGTCATATGATAACAAATCATTTCAAATAGAAACGCACATCCCTTATCTATCTCTTCTTGAAATATCAGATATAAATATTGTGAATAAAGAAGAGAGGACTGTAAAGGTCTGTTTCCGAACAGTTTTGAGAAAAGTGAGACTTAAGTAGGTGTCCTGGCACTTTGCTAATGAGCGCCGTTATTAGCCTTTTGTTGTACATAAACATAGTCAATTTAGTTTCAACCCTCCCAAATTCATCTGAGATTAGCAGCACCTGCTGTGTTAGCTTAATGAAATATTGCTCCCTGCTTCTTCATCCCCCCCTGACAATAATTGATTACGAAAGAGAAGTACGTGGCAATTGCAGCGTTATTCAAGTCATTACAGACTTGGCCGGGCCAAGCAGGCTTACTTTTCTAAATCCCCTGTTTATGTATTGTTGTTGAACGGCGGCATTAGAAGGTCCCTGGTTGGGCATTGTGTGATGTGAGGAAATGTGTTTTACCTTTTCTAACAAGCTTGACTTTAGAGTTATGTTCTTTGCAGTCTATTACAGCCCCAACGGCTCTGCTCATTGTAAGTACAGTGGGATTGTTAAAAAGGAAGCTGATGATAAAGAATTGCAGGGGAAGAGCCAGACATACAAGTGAAAATCAGAGAGAAAGGAATACTTTTATTTTTTTCCCACTGGAGTTTTAAACCTCGCAACTCCTGGTTAATCAGGTCTCATTTGCATTCAAACTCACCTCCTGCTCCTTTTCTCACTCCTTTGCTGGGCCCTATTTAGCTCTCCTTATTTTCCCCCGCTCACACACACACACACACACACACACACACACACACACACACACACACACACACACACACACACACACACACAGAAGATTATGCATAAAGCAGTGGCTGATTGTTTATATTAGGTTAGTGGAAGAACAGCGTCCCATATTTACTTGCATGTTTGCACGCAAGTAAATATGGGACGTTCCCTAACTTGTGATTTAGAGCTAGCTAGTAAGGAATCTGAAAAAGCCAACAAGTCTGAAAGCAAGAGAGCCTGAGAGTTCTGATCTTTAGATTTGGAAGAAATAGGTTGGGTAGACACTCGGGTAGAAAGAAGCTAAAAGGAGAGAAAGGATGAAGCAGAGAAGAAATGCAAAGAGAACAGAATAAAGGATACTGAGAGAAAGAAGAGGGTAACAATGCAGCTGGATAGAGGTGAGGAAAAAGTAGAAAGGGATAGAAAAAGGCAGGAGATAGAGGACAGTGAGCTGGAGTTGGGAGTAGGTTACCAATTACTGGGTCACGGAGTGGACAGCTTCATCTATTGCAGCTCCTCCTGCAATGTCAGTTGTACCCTTAGATTTTGTCTGACGTCTGTATATGTGCGTGTTGCTCTTTTTAGCACAGAAGTCCCAATGCGCAGCTGTTTTTGGGAAAGAACAATTGGTCCGAAGTCTAACTGAGAAAAGAGGGATTCTTCATACAGATCACACAGCAAACATTGTGTTCCTGTGTCGCTCCCTCTCCAAGAAGGGCGTTTATCAAAAAGTGGAGGGAGCCAGGAGAGTGGTTTTAAAGTAGAGACATTTCATAATGTCGATTAAGAGAACATGAGGACAGCACATCAGAAGCATATTAAGTATGACACCTGACTATTCCCTGTGTTTTTTATATTTTCTGTTGTAAATTATTGTCTTTTATTGTGATTGTAGTAATGTGTTTTTATTACATGTACAGCACTTTGGCTCGACCAAAAATCGCTTTTAAATGTGCTTTATAAATAAAACTTGATTTCATTAAAGTGTTTAGCCAAAACATTTACTCGACAGCTAAATGGGTTCATATAGCTCAAACTAAAGCATTCTAATGCAACAATCCTGCAATAAATTGTTCCTTCATTAAAGGTCCCATGTCATGCTTTTCCAGTTATTACCCATCCCCTTGTGTGTTATGAAGGTTTTTCTACATGTAAACGGTCTGCAGAGTCACAAACCCTCAAAGTACACCGTGTAGCGAGTACAACTCTAACACAGAAAAGACCTGTCTGCTGCCCCAGAACGCCTCGTTGGACATTTCTCTTTTTCTTCTTGGGTACAATGACGTGACCACACCCAAATGGTTCTCTCAGCAGCGAAACTGTGACGCGGTAGGTGGTGCTAGTGGAGCCGATGGTGCTGAGGTGCTGCAGCCCCCTCAGCACCCCCCCCTTCCCGCGTCCATTCGCGATGTCTTGCAGATCCCACGCAGCAAGCAGGAAATGAACCGAGCTCACACTCTCCGCTCCTCGCAGTAACGTCCCGCCAACACGGCACCCAGACCCCACGCAGCATTCTCATCTGTTTGTCCTTACTGGTGTCATTTTCTGGTTGCTAACGCCATTGTAACACATAATCACTGATGTTCCGCTGTAACGGTGGTAGACTCATCAGAACAGAGTGGGCGAGCTGACCAATCAGAGCACAGTGGGCTCACAGGGGAGGGGGGGGGGGGCAGGAGCTCCAACAAGCCGTTTAGGACAGAGAGTGAATACACATACTTTACAGAGATGCTGTATGAGAAACCAATGTGAGTTTGGAAAATTGGGACCTTTAAAAGTAATGTTTTTATTAAAAGAGGTGATGATTTACTTATCAGGCTGTAGTTTGTGATGCTGCTCTATTGCATACTGACTGATGTTTCTAGTATTTTATCCACCACATTTATATTTCACTCCCTGTCCATAGTAGCGAAAGTTTTAACAAAGGAATAAACCGAGAAACCCTAGAAACACTCAGCTTCCCCAGCCAACCTACGGCCAATACAACATTTATAATAAAAGCATGTTCTCCTCTCACCTGCTTCACTCCACCGCTGTGTGACTGACAGTCCCGAGGAGGAAACCAGATATTTTTGTTTTCTGTCCCTGCACTGTGCAGATGTAGCCTGCTACTGACCTCGAACATTGTTAACTACATCTCTGACTTGTTAAGCAATTTATTAATGTATGACAACAGAAAAATTACCAGTGTGAGTGACATGGACACAGCTCCACAGATTTTTCTAGTGACTAGATACTGATTGGTAAGGGCAACACAAAATAACCTCCACATCAAGAAAGAAGTCAAGCTGAATAAATGAGGGGAAAAATTGTCAATTAAGTCTGATCGTTTGTTTAATTCAGCTGCAGTTTGTTTTGTTGCATGGCTATTTGGCTCTCCTCTTAATATACAGCCATGTTTCCTCCTACCTGTGAAGACGGCGGTGCTGACGACTTTGCTCTCCTGACTCCCCTTGACAGCGCTGATGCTGATCTCGTATTCAGTCGCAGGGAACAGGCTGGACAAGGTGTAGTTGGTCACATCGCTGTCAATCACCACGCTGTCCACTCGACCTGCACAGACATCAGAACAGCCGCCGTCACTCTGATCTCAGATTTATCAGGTAAAGGGCAAGTTGTACATCACAGGGTAAATATTTAATCAATACAAACTGTTAATTAAAGATTCAGTTACATTCTACTGATAAAATGTTATCAATTAATTACAGCTACAACAGTGTGTGTAACAGTGCTCCCTTCTACAAAATATCTTACATCAGAGAGACTCTCTGCAGCACATGCCATGTTCATTTAACTGCAACACGAAAACACAGTGCTCCAGCGTGCATATTGATATAGTGAATTCCTTGTTCTTATAATACATTGAAGTGTCGTTAAAGACTGGGTTACCTCTGGCTGATTGGTAGGACAGCTTATAATATTCAAATGGCGCCATTGGTTTGATCCAAGAGATAATCACAGAGTCTTCAGTCACATCTGACATTGTCATCTCTTTTGGTGGGTCCATGCCTAGAAGGGAGATATAAGTGTTAGCATAGGATCAAAATGGTCCACAATGGATAACATGGGAGAATGTATTCTGATCCCAGAAAAGCGCATTATGTGGTATACTAGGCAAATAGGGGAATTTACATACAAATCTAAAAGATTCAGTGCCCTTGAAACCCGAGGTACTTCATAAATCCTTGCTTTGTCCATTTCTAATCTGCTCTTCATTATATTTGCACAAACAGACCTGCCCGGTCTGCAGAAGCCCAGCTTGTTCAAAATAAATAAATAAACACCATCAAAAGATATTCCAGAAGAAATCTATCTGGTAAAGAGCACAATGGGCGGCATTAGCATTGAGACTGAGCAGGGCTTACTCGGAGGAGATTTACCCCCCCAGCTGACAATTTGTTTTATGCGTCTCCTGAGACTATCGAGCTGCCATGGAAAAGGTTATGGACAAAACAATGTGAGAAAACAATTAAACTGAGGATAGGTCCTTAGCTGCTAGAGAAAGAAACGGAGGGATAAAGAAAGTTCAAAAGGGGGAAAAAGACAAAAAAACAGAAAAGGAAGAGATAAAGAGATAACGTCTATCTGTCGGTGTGGACAAGAGGAGGAACGAGCAGCACATAAAACAACAACCCCACCCCCTGCTGAAGAATAATGGCTATTATTCACAAGCAGAGGGGGCAGTTTATTACTCCTGGCTTTGAAGTCATTTGAATTCAACTTGTATGACATACACTACCTTCATTTACATATGTTTTGCATATTATTCATGCATGCATATCTTACTAATTATGTTTACTTTGGTAAAAATAACAGCTGGAAAAATAAAGAGCTTCTCGAGGTTCGGAATGGGAACAGTTACAGAACAGGTCTGTCAGTGAACTCTACTGCTATTGACCTGATCCTCCTGAAAGATCACAATTCAATTTGCACTGTAAGGACTTACAGTATGTCTTGAATGTTGCTTGATATTGTTGTATTGTTTTAAGTGTCGGACCCCAGGAAGAGTAGCTTTTGTCAAGAGCAAAAGCTAATGGGGATCCTTAATAAACATAAACATAAGCTAATACATGAATGTGGCCCTCAGGCTTAGCAACACTGAAGCACGGTTTGAACCGATAAACAGCAAAAAATATACTGAACGGGTTAGAAACTGAGGACTCCAGAACATTTGAAACGATAAAATCTAACAAAAAAAAACATTTAATCGAAAAGGAAAGCCAAAGTCTCTAATCAGTGCTCACATTGAAATGAGCAGGATCAAAGCATTACACCCATTCTGAAGACAGGTGCAAGAAATACTGTATAGCCATCTCAAAATCCCCATCCAATTTCACCCTCAGAATGTGCTTATAATCATGTGTGGGTGAGCGTAAAGAGGGAGTGCTTGTGACTGCCAAGGTATTATGTTAAACTGGCTCAGTTATCAGATGGCAGCTTGCAGGTGTCTCTGGCACTGATGCAAAGATAATATATATGTTGTTCAATGCTGACTTTTGCCTTTCCTCTAATAGTCTCAGTCCTCTCTTTTGATTTCCTTTTTGTCCTGATTTTTCTTTTCTGTTTTGCCCACTGTCTCTTTCTCAGGCAGGTCACTTCACTGACCCCCTTCTCATGTATTCTCTTTCCAAATGTGAATAGCACACTCATAATCAAAATAAATGATTCAAGAGCTCCTTCTATCAAAAAGCCAATTAGCGTGAAATGACAAGGTAATACTGTATTACGTATTGACAAAGAGAGAAAGATATGAACCATCTTTGCAGCGTGGTTTGAGGAAAAACATTTTAATAAAAAGACACAGAGAGAAATTATAGACAAAAACTAAAGAGATTAAATAAAGGGCAGACTGAATGGAAAATATTAATTTTAAATGTGCAGAAAACAGCTCAAAGCATTGGCAGACATCTTTAATTTACAGTAACAATGCCCATGTCCGCCTCCTCTCTCATTCTTCTTCTCTCTGTCCTTTACTGTTTTTTTCAGAAATGTCTCAAATATCACCAAAAGTTACGATTGCGTATGAGTTTATAAACATGACTTAGCACTTGGCTGTTGACTCAAATGTCATGTTTGTGGCAACTCTCAGCTATATGACACCGCAGGAGAATACAACTTGTATTGTTGGTACTACGTCTTACAAAGAAATAGAAAGAAAAAATCTCCCAGGCAGATCTGTAATTATTAACAATAATTCTGCTCTGGAATGAAATGCTAAAACAGCATATTTTGCAAATGCATATTTAATTTAAAATCACTTTGAATTTCCATTTTTCCATTTGTTATCCCGTTTCCTTTCCCACACTTGCAACTGTGTTCTACTAATGTTCTTCCTTGGTTACTGGTTAAAAAATACTGGAAAATACTAAAATATTATATTTTGATTATCTCTTTATCTATGAATTTGTCTTGTGAAAAAAAGGGAATTATAGCTTCTCCATTGTCTGGATTTTCTGCTTGTTTTAGTCTCAGGTGAAAGTACATTGACATTTCTATGGAGTGTTAGGCTTTGGAAAATTATTTATGAAGGACAATGTTCGCTTTTTTCTGACCTTTCATGGATCCAAAAATTGCTCAATTTGCAGATCAATCAACATGTAAAAGATTGTAAGTTGAAACCCTAAACGTGGTCTAATGTTAAAGGTCCCATGTCATGCTTTCCGGTTATTACCCGTCCCCTTGTGTGTTATGTAGCTTTTTATGCATGTAAACGGTCTGCAGAGTCACAAACCCTCAAAGTACACCCTGTAGCGATTAAATCTCTAACACAGAAAAGATCTGTCTATGCTGCCCCAAAACGCCTCGTTGGGGATTTTTCTTTTTCCATTTGTTTCTTCCGGGAACCAAGTGACGTAACGACGACCCAATGGACCAATTGGTCCAAATGGACCAATCCTGCGGAGCCGTTAAGTTACGTCCACGGAACCGTTATTTCCTCACACACACACAATCAATCTTTTCTCAGGCAGCTGCAGCTCCGCTGATTTCTCAGCCTGAGACGGTGGGACGCGGCAAGGCTGTGAGTCTGAGTGTGAGCACACACACAGACTCACAGCCAGGCTGCGGGTGTGTGTGTGTGCTCGGGCTGGTTTCAGGCTGGGTTTAGCTGTGTCTCGCTGTCTCGTCAACCCCACGCAGCAACCAGGAAACCACACCAGTAAGCCAGCTCACACTGTCCGCTCCTCGCAGCAGCGAGCCTCGCAACGTCCCGCCAACACGGCACCCAGACCCCACGCAGCATTCTCATCTATGTGTCATTTTCTGGTTGCTAACACCATTGTAACATAATCACTGATGTTCCGCTGTAACGGTGGTGGACTCATCAGAAAGGAGTGGGCGAGCTGACCAATCAGAGCACACTGGGCTCACAGGGAGGGGGGGGCAGGAGCTCCAACAAGCCGTGTAGGACAGAGAGTGAATACACATACTATACAGAGATGCTGTATGAGAAACCAATGTGAGTTTGGAAAATTGCACAATATAAATCTATTCTGGTATACCTCAACAATGGAATTATGATCAGTAGAAATGGCCATGACATGGGACCTTTAAGTACAGAGGAACAGAAAAATCTATGAATGTAAATACAAATACTCATATTATATTGAAGCAAGAATACCTAACCGCTGAAAACTGCGTCTCATTACACTCCAGCCATAAGCCTTCACTCTGCTGCTCATGTTTTATCGATGGTTGTGTGTTATCCTCTTGATTACCACTGTTGTATGGAAACCAAGCAGGCTCACCTGTATGTGAGTTGAGGCAGCTAATGGGCTCAGAGGTACGTCCCCCTGTATTGTGGATTAGAGACTGACTGGCTGTT